CCCCAAAACCCCAAAACCCCAAAACCCCAAAACCCCAAAACCCCTTTGTTACAGAGGGATTGAAATATGCATTCTTAACTTAAACCTAAAGAGCTTAGGCTAGGACTTCCTCCCAACAGGTGGCTTCTCAGAGTTATGCCTCCTTGACAAATATGTTGACTTGGTGTATCGACTCTCCCGGGTATTTTTCAGATGTGACTTAGAAAAGAGAACTGAGCATGAAGGAGCATGCTTGTTCTTCCATTTTTGGTACCTTGAACACTTCTGAAAGCCTACTAAAGTTTTGCCCTCTATTGATGATACATTAGTGCTTACCTGGGTTCTCAATTAGACTCTTCAGAGTGGGATAGGCATTTCCATCAGGAAATTCTTCATGATATGAAGATTGACTGAGATGAGCAGCTGACTTTTTTCCAGTTTTAAGTGCCACCTTCCTAGCTATATTTTGCATTCATTTCTTCTGATAGCTTAAATTCATCCGAGTGAAAGTAGAGTAATCCATTTTAAGGTCACGGTCAATTTTTGATGAGAATTTCCCTGGAAGTCTAATTAAGCCAATATCTCCAGAATTACGATGGCTGTTATCGATCTTCTTTATGTGAAATCTATCAGTGGATTTAACCAAAGTAGGTGCTCTTTTAATGGATCTTAGGATATTCTTGATCGAAGAATGACTTTTGTTAGGACCTCCATAATCATCTCTTGAAGAGAGTCCCCACCCGATTGACCCCAGAGAGTCTCTCTCTGGCATAAAGTTTGGCTGTATAGACTTATTGTGAGAGAAGGATGAACCGGAGGTTCGAAATTCTCCGCTCCATCTTAATCCTCCCCTTCCTCTGTTGAATGCTATTAAAGAGAATTAGAGAAATTTCGTGAATAAACAGCTTTTACAAGATGATCATCTTACACTGGCTGGTTCTACTAGAATCTGTAAAGGAAAGACCGTTCATTAAAACTTTATTTTGTTAAGAATATTTTTATATAAAGGGGTTTTGGGGTTTTGGGGTTTTGGGG